ATTTAGCCTGTGAATCAGAGTACTTAGCTATGAGCGAAGCATCAAAGGAGGATATATGGTTGAAGAACTTCATTGGAGACCTTGGAGTTGTGTCAACCATTAAGGAGCTTATCAAAATTTTATGTGATAATAAAGGAGCGGTTGCCTTAACCAAGGAACCGAGAGATCATGGTAGATCAATACATATCGACAAAAAATATCATTTTATCAGACATCGAGTAGAAGAAGGACACCTCATCGTTAATAAGGTATCATCAGAAGAGAATCTTGTTGATCCCCTCACAGAGGGTCTAAGAAGGATTATGCTTGTTCAGCATGCAATGAGCATTGGTCTGAAGGATGATATTAGTTTTAGTCATTAGATAGATTTTCAGAAACTTGTAACAAATAATGGAACATAAATTTGATGATTAAATAATGGAGAATTATTTATGAATATTGTTTACTATCATTTGTCAATTGTTTATCATTGTATTTCAACTTTGCATGTTTTACTTCCTGAATAATTAGATTATTCAAAACATCCATAGTCAATCATACTTTGGAAGTAAGCACTGAATTAAGACTATCATGAATTGGATTGTAGACTGTCTAAGTGTTTTGACATAGCAATGGTTTGCTGCAACATTCATGGGTACTTCTGAAATGGAGATTTGAGTATTGGAATAACCCATGCTCAGATATTTACTTCATGAAATTTATCACGAGTAATTCTGAGACGATAATATCGTATAATCTTTAAACTGAGATATATGAAATGTTGTTTACAAGTTGGTTGTTCATTGATAATGTGTAAACGCATCAGTAACTTGATGTTATAAAACGTATTATTATGTATGATTTGATGAATAAATAGTACAAGCATATAAGTCAAAGTTTATCTGTTCCTTTTGTCATATGGGGAAAAAGCAATATCTTGGGCCCCTCGATGATTTGGTGTTGACTTATGTGTCGGGCCCGGTCAGGACTGAATTGATGTGTTCAATTAAGTTCTTTGTCATTACAAATCGGAAATCGCGAAAACAAACTATTGGACAATGAGAATAATTATGTTTCATGTCATTTCTCTACATGATATCCTGTAGAACGGAGGATTATATGATCCCTTATCTAAGAACACATAACTAACTAGGTTAGAGTTTGACAATGACTTTTGAGAGCTACAATGTGCTGGTTAATTTTTGAAGTTGTACTAGCAAGTATAGTTATTAAACTTATCCAAGTGGGAGACTGTTGGATTAGGTTTCTAAACTCATAACTATAATTGGTATATACTTGAATTGATAGTAGCATAGTCCTTTTGGGTTTCCTTCACTCTAGCAACTTGACATGATGACTTTTGGAGAGAAGTTGAATTTATTATTTGGAATAAAAAATTAATATAAATAGTTTATTAATATATTGTGAGAAATATATATATATATATATATATATATATATATATATATATATATATTAATTAGAAATCATTTTATTTAATTAGTATTTAATCAGAAATTAGTTTGGAATTAATTTTGGGATTAAATGAATTAATTAAAAGTATAAAGGGTTGTTTTGCAATTTAGTGATAGTTGTGAATTTGGGCTAATGGACCCCATGGAATGAGTGGGCGAAAATTATAAGGAGTCCCTATAGGTTTTCGCCTATAGCCTTAAGAATGGGAGTCCATATGGACTGCTTAGGCTTTAAGCTGGAAATTAGGGTTTCCTCCAGCAAATCCTAGCTTTGACTCTAAGCAACCAACAGCTATATAAAGGCCCCAACCCTTAAGAATTTCATCCAATGCTTTTAACCTTAGAAGAGCTAAAATTCTGGTGTAATCTCCTCCTCTCTCCTCTCATTAGTGTTAATAAGTCATTAGAGGTATCACATTTGAGGAACTTGCTCTCAAGAGTTCAAGATCATCAAGGTTTCATTGTTATTACTACTTAACAATAAAGATATGGATCTAAACCCTATTTAGTATAGATTTCAAATTTATATTAGCCTCCTAGGGTTTCTCTTCTGTATCCAAGTTTGCATGTTAAACTAGTAAAAATCTAGATTCAAAGCATTAGGGTTGTATGAACACGTAGGATTTGTTGTTATGCTCAAAACTCATCATAACTAACATGTCATCCATCACCCGCTAACAAGCATTTTGATTATTTTGGTTTTTGATTTTGTTAGTAAATCGTAAAACAACAACATATAAACTAACTTCCAAATTGAAAATGAAAAACAATAAAAAAATATATTAATGTTACAAACAAAAATAAAAACTCTAATATGAAAACATAAATAAATAATAAAAGAGTAAAAAAATTATTTCACATGTCATAATCTTTAAATTAGAGTTTTATGTGTATTCAGGTCCTTATTTCCGCGTCTTACTTTTAAAACCTATTAATATAATCTACATTTATATATTATATAGGTCTATACCAACAAATTAAATATCATAATTAAAAGACTTTTAAGTAAAACTAAAAAGTTTTAGTATCAAAATAATATTTCATACAATCGTAAAAAACCATTTTATATGTAAAGTAGTAATTAAGAGATAAGTTAAAAACTATGAGTTTTAAATAAATATAATGGAAGTAGTTTTTTTATATCTATTATATATAGATATAAATATGAATTTGATTAATTGATTAAAAAATACATGTTCTTAGAAAGGCTCGTTTTTACCTCAAACTTTATCTAAGGTATTCTATGTAACAAGTGTATAAGAATAACATATTAGGTCCACATAAGAATCACTTCATCAAAGAATACTTCAACAACGAAAGCAACTTTTAAGTGGTCTTAATAACTTTTACGAATATGCTCCAAAGGTATGTATATGTACAACATATTTTTTATTCCAAGCAAATTGACATAAGTAGCATATTTTTTATTGGAGGTAAATGGCCAAACATTTCCGAATCTAACTGGCCATAGAAATCGTGTTTGTTAATTGTCATATCCAAAGGGTTCAAAAAATTTAAAAATAAATAAATAAATAAGGTGTAGGTAAATGTAAAGGAAAAATGACTTATGAGTCCAACAAAGTTTTCATATCATTGAAAAAATCTCAATCATGTTTTTTTCTGTTCAAGAAAACCCGACAAACTTAATATTTTGTTTAAAAAAACCCAACTAAGCTCCGTTACAAAAACTCAAATCATGTTTTATTTGTTTAAAAAAATCCAAAGAACTTAACCTTTTGATCAAACAAAACATGATGGGGTTTTTTTGAACGGTTTGAAAACTTCATTGGACTTTTTTAGACAAAATATTAAGTTTGTTGGGCTTTTATGAACAAACAAAATATATGATTGATGTTTTTTGAACAGTTTGAAAATTTTATTGGGGTTATCGGTCATTTTCCCTAAATGTAAATGTTGGTACTTAAACTCTATGTTTATAGCTAATGAATTTTTTACTGATAAATATGACGTCCTAGAACACGCACTGCAATATGGCAAACATAGGTTGCACATATACTAGCCAATTTTAAGTCGATTCTTTTGCCAAACCAGTTCTTTTAAACTATCAAGACTTAATATATGCAAATACACTTTCCGACTACTTCTATATGTAGTATATTTTAAGACGCTCTATATATAATTTAATTTATGAAAATTTATGTTTATCCAAAATACCTAGATGAAATTCCAACCTTAAAGCTGTTCTAACTTCGTTGTAAACTATACATTTCTAACAATGCACTATTAAAATCCCAATCATAAGCAGCTCGAATGGAATACTTTTGTGAAATGGTCAAGGGGATTGCTTTCTATAGGTGGTGTTCCGGTGGAAGAAGAGGACTGGTGTTGTATATGTTGTAGTTCAAGATGAAGAGATATATAAGAGAATTAGAAGAACGACCAAAGAGTTTATAGATCAGCACGATTAAGTGGCGCTCTCACTTTCTCTCTTTGAGATCGAAAGTTCAAGTCTCGTTGAAATCCTAGGTGGATTTATGAATAATTCCATAATAGATTATATGTACATGTCAAAAAAGAATAAAAGAACGAGTAATTAACCGGTCTGTTTAGTTTTCAAATAATGTTCAGATAATGACATGTATTCTCAAACTAATCATTGGTCATTTATTGCTATATCCTTTACTATATCACTTATGTGTGAATATTTTTAACATTGGGTTTATTTTGTATATGTGTTATTGTAGTTTTTATTTTGTATATGTGTTATTGTAGTTTTTTGTTAAGATTTTATGCAGAGGACTAATTTTGACATATTATTCAATTATGTGGACTACGACTCATTTTGTGAGAAAGTCATTAGCAGAAAAGGTGTTGGTTTTATCCATTGATAATTTGGGTGTATTTGATAGTTTGCCCAGAAGTATATATTCTCTGTGTGTATGTTTCAAGCTAACACACTTCATTTTTTGTCACACGCACTTAGATATTTTTCTATGTAACATTTAGATTTTTCTAGGGTTTGTTCTTCTCATGCATTCTTCATTTCTAGATTAATTTGAGTGTAGTAATAGCTAGCAAGGATTCTTGTACTGAGAGTTTGAGTGAATTTGTAGTGAGGTTGATGTGTAAGTTCGTTCAAAACCAACTGGTTCTTTATGAATACAAACTGTTGATGTTGTGAAGTTTTATGTTCTTTATCATTCGTGTTTCTTTTGATGGTATCAGAGCGGGTTTCTAGCCGATTTCTGGTTGTTTTTCCTGAGAGATTGGTGTTTTAAAGTTGAAACGAATATGAATATTGGTTAAAGTTTACCCTGATAGAAAAAAGAAAACATGAAGTTGAAACGAATATGAATCTTGGTGAAAGTTTACCTTAAAAGAAAAGATAATACGAAGCCACCTCATGTTATATTTTATTTTATTATTATTATTATTATTTTGCATATTAGTTATATATATATATATATATATATATATATATATATATATATATATATATATATATATATATATATATATATAATATATATATATATATATATATATATATATATATATATAAATCAATATCAATAAAAAGAAACGATGCATGTCAACCATTGTACTACTATAAAAAGGCTGATGGCATCTGTATATTGCAGTTATCTCTTTTTCAAAACACAAGTGGTTTCTTTGGAATACCTAAGAGATGGCTCAAACAGCAAATCTTATTGGACAGGTAGAGATAAATTCAGGTGGAGATGTGTTGCATGATCTTTTGAGGTTCAAACCAAATGATATTCCTCCCATGTGCTCTAATAAGATGTATCGCTGTGACTTGCTTAGTGGTCAAAGAGGTGATGTTGGATCCACCATTTGCTGGAACTTTACCAATGGTAAGTTTTTAGGCTAACTTCATTTTTTTTTTTTTTTTGCGTTGTTTTTTTTATCATTTATCCTACTTTCAGGCTAGATTATCCTCAAAAGAAGTAAATTTGACATAATCATAGCTAAAAACAATCACTCTAATTTACATTCATTTTTCTGTTTGAATCGACATAATCAATAATCAATCGTTGTTGACATGAAATCATTGAATCTTATTCACCCCTACCACCATTCGATTTTAACTCTTCTTTTTGCATGGAAAAAAGATGGGAAACCGCAAGCTTCAAAACAAATAATTGAAGCAGTAGACGAGAAAAACCACAAAATAGTGTTCAAGGTAATTGGAGGAGAATTAGTTGAGATATACAAGACCTTCAAAATAATATTTCATGTTGAAGAAAAAGGTGGTAAAAGATTTGCCATTTACACCTATGAGTTTGAGAAGCCAGATACAGATGTACCATATCCAACTTCGCTGATGGACTTTATGACTACTATTCTCAAAGAGATGGACGAGAATGCCAGCCGTAAATAGATCCCTAAGTCCTTAAGCATATGAAGGAATATACGCAGTTACACATGTGTGCCTTTAGTTAATAAAAGTATGAAGTATTTAATAAATAAAAGTTTGGCATGGATGGCTGCTTCTCGCATGTTTGTTGTATTCGAGGTTTGAAACTACTCTAATAATATGATATTATGTACTAATTCAGGATTTCCTTCCTTTTTTTTCTTGTTTTAGTGGAGTTGCCACAAAAACCTTCTTATTAGCAAAAATATTCGATTTTATATTAAATCTATTTTTATGTTCATTAATTAAGTGTGAGAGTCGTGTATTATATGAGTTCATTACACATAAAAATTTAATATCAATATATAAACATTAAATATTTTATAAAGTAATGTTTTACATAACAGAATGTAATTATTATCAAATTAATAAGATGATTTTATTTTCTTACAAAACCCACTACAACTTTATGGAATTTTATTTTAAAAAAATGAAAATCCCTAAAAAAATTACTGGAAAATAAAATTTTGAAATTTTCACAAAATAATAAGTGTCAAAATAAAGGAAAAGATGACATATACAAAAAAAAAATCTTCACTTATTACAGAGGATGTCATTATATTTGAAAAAATTATTCAATTATACACTTTTACTTGGTGACAAGTTTTTTTGGTTACCATTATATTAAAATCATAAAAAAAATAAAAATAAAAAAACCTTTAAGTTTATAATTTTTTTTTAATATTTTTATCCTAAGTATATTTTTTTTAAATATTATAGGTATTAATGTGGAAAAATATATTTATATATGAAAACAAATATCTACTTAAATATTATATATATATATATATATATATATATATATATATATATATATATATATATATATATATATATATATATATGAGTAGGATCAAATGAAAACACCTAAAAGGTAGAGAATGCGAGATCACATCTAGCCCATCTAAATATTCAAATCTAAGTCTATTATCAAACGGGTCATTTATGTTAATTCTAAAATTATTGGTAGTAAAGTGTAACTTTAAAAATAGCATAAGGGTATAACAGTAATTGAAACATTAGGTTAATCCTATAATTTCTCATTCCCATCCTTATTTCCATTGTCGTATCCTCTCTCTCTTTCTTTCTCTCTCTTTCTCCCTCTCTCTCTACCTTAGGTTGAATCAGTTGACCGCCTCCATCAATTGCATACCACAATATATTCATATCTTAGCCTACCTTCACCACACCTTCGATTTTCGTAGCCCTAATCGGACCTGCAAATAGATTTCCAATCAGCCTCCTGCAACTCGATCTCAATCGGTCTCCTATAACCCGATTCATGGAAAACCGAGAGGGATGTATGTACCTGGTTCAGATTGCAATCGATTCATGGAAAAATGAGAGGGAGGTGTGTACCTGGATCAGATCGCAATCGGATATCCGTCTTGAAAGATACAAGAAGATGAAATCATTTCGCCTTGCTCTTTCGAACTAGCTATTGTTTCCAGATTTGGGACTCAGATTCATCATTGCCGAAGACAGGTGAAATCCTTCCTTCTTTTGTTCACTTATTTCATTTCAGTTGTAGCATCAATTGTTTGTCGTTTGGTTTAGTTTGATGGCTGGAGTGGTTTAACCAATTAAAGTTTCCTTTGGATGATTTAGGGATGAATTTGGACATCCTGTACTTCTATAAGACAATTAAATAAAGATTGTATTAACCTTTTGTTCACTTATTTTCTTGTAAAATAATCTAAGGTTCTTAAGTTATAATCTCACACGCGGATTATTGTTTCCCAAACTCAGATTCATCATTTTCGAAGATGAAATCATTCTGCCTTTCTCTTAAGATTGCAATCGGACATCTATCTTAAATAACACAGGAAGATGAAATTGTTCTTCCTTCGATCAGAATACATTTCAAGCTGCTCTGAGACTGAGGCTTCCTTTAATTTCAAAAGATGGTGGGGTTCATAAGGAAGAAAAAGAGAAATCTTTTTCTGAAGTTGTACAGGGATTGTTGGATGAAAGGTTCCAAATTCATATTTGTGAAGGTTTTTGCATGTATTGTTAAATAAGGGTATTGTACTTGTCTATGATAGAATGTGTATTTATTTATAAATAGCAGTGTATTGATGTGTGAATTGTTGTATGTATTTATGAATTGTAGTATATTCATGTGAATGGGTGTATTTATTTATGATTAGAGATATTCAATTTTTGATAGAATGTGTATTAATTTATAAATAACAGTGTATTCATTTGTGAATAGCAGTGTATTAATGTGTAAATGACTTTATTTATTAATGAATAGTAGTGTATTGATGTGAATGAGTGTGTTTATTTAAGTGAATGAACTATTTGTAATTTGATGTGCATTTATTTGTGATTGGAGTAGTATTAGGTTTTTTGAAGAAACATTTTGTTTGTGGATACAAGTGTATTGATTTGAGATTGGATTTCAATTTTTTTTTTTTTGAAAAACAAAAACGTGAAATAGGAGAAAAAAATAATTTTTTTAAGATTTTAAATAAATTTGACTAAAAACATTTTTTATATACCATTAAATAAAAAAAATAAAAAATTGAATATATATATATATATATATATATATATATATATATATATATATATATATATATATATTGTAACTGATCCTAAATTTAAGGGAATTTGGTTACATTTTAAATTATGTTAATTTAATTAAAATATAAAGTTACTAATATGCTCTTATATATTAATTGGTCTAGAACCGTTTTCGCGTTGTCAACCTGATGTTCTCATTTGATCATCTCTATCTCTCTCTCTCTCTCTCTCTCTATATATATATATATATATATATATATATATATATATATATATATATATATATATATATATATATATATATATATACATCTTACTATATTATTATACAAACCTTACTATTTCTAAAAATATATTTAAGACGTTTAAGTGTTTCAGCTAATAGTACAACAAATCAACATTAAAATAATATAATAATTTAAATCCTACAAAATACAATGCAATAAGTACAAGTGTTTAATGCACAATAAATCACATACTCCAATATTGAAACATTCAAACGTCACGTCCTTATCTTTCCAGATATAGAGGACATCAACAACTTTGACTTGACTCTTCTTTTTCCTTATTTTACTCTTTATCCCTTCTTATCTTTACATTTGAATTCGCTGTCAATTCTCCTAATTTGAAATTTAAAAATGTTTATGAGAAGTCATCAATTGTCATAACTTGATAATAACCCCTTAGGTCTACACGTTTTAAATTTTTATGAACTTTAATTGATAATGGACATTATATTATAAAAATGATTTCTAATTAAATATAGGGCCTATAGAAAAAAATACAATATTAATATAAATTTGTTCCACTAACAAACTCATAGATGTATTATGTCACAAATAACGTCAAAATATAATTATATTGTTCTTAAAGAGTTACACTTTACTTTCTATGGAACATAACATTTTTATAAAATAAACGTATCGCCGAAAAAAAATTATCCGTGTGCCCAATATAAAAAAAAACCGACAAGTACATCAAAGAATACATTGTTTCTCAAAAAGAAAAAAGAATCAGTAAATTGAAACTAATATGAAAAGAAACGATTTGCAGAAACAATTTATTTGTCACCGCCGCTTTGCACGGGTAACGCCTAC